CATAGCCTTACACAGCCGTACCATGCCGTGCAGCATAGCCATGCATGGCCGTACATAGCCGTTCATACGCGCGCATAGCCATGCATGGCTGTACATAGCAGTGCATAGCCGTACATAAGCCCTACATAGCCTTTTATAGCTGTACATAGCCGTATATGGGCTCTACATCGCCTTACACAGCCGTACCATGCCGTGAATAGCCGTGCGTGGCCGTACATAACCGTACATAAGCCGTACATAGCCTTACATAGCCGTATTAGCCCTGCATAGCCGTGCGTAACGCTACATAGCCGTGCATGGCCATGCATAGACCTACATAAGCTCCACATAGCCTTACAAGGCCGCACTATGCTGTGCATAGCCATGTATGGCCATACATAACCTTGCATAGCCATGCATGACCGTATATAACCATGAATAGCCGTTCATAAGCCGTACATAGCCCTGCATAGCCGTGCATAATCCTACATAGCCGTAAAAAGCTGTTTATAGGCGCACATTGCCGTACAGGGCCGCGTATAGCCGTACATAGCCGCGCATCGCCGTACATAGCTGCGCATAGCCGTACATAGCCGTGCATAGCCGCACATAGCCTCGTATTGGCGTCCATAGCCGTACATAGCCGCGCACAGCCATATGTAGCTGTGGGTAGCTGCGCATATCCGTACATAGCCGCGCACTGCCATACATAGCTGTGGATAGCCGCGCATAGCCTTAGACAGCCGTGCATAGCCGCACAAAGCAGTACACAGCCGCGTATAGCCGTCCATAGCTGTACATAGCCGTGCACAGCCATACATAGCTGTGTATAGCCGCACATGGCCGTGGATAGCCGCGCATAACCTTACACAGCCGTGCATAGCCTCGCATAGCAGCACATAGCCGTACATACTTTCTTATTCGTCTCACATTCGTAATGTATGCACGGCTATGTACGGCTATGAGCGGTTAGCCGCACATAGCCGCGCATAGCCGCGCATAGCCGTACATAACGCTGCATAGCCATACAGAGCCGTACATAGCCCTAGGTAGCCCTGAACACCCGGACATAGCTGTGCATGGCCGTACATAGCTGTACATATTCAAACATAGTGAAAGTAGGGTTTATACGTCGGGTCGCGTCGTTAAGACTTATGTTACCTCCGTTTACGTGAAATAAAAGTGACAGTAAGTAATATAATGAACCGGAGAGAAACTAGTGAACATTTTGTTAGTCTTATCAATTTAATTATTCCTATAATTATTAACTATCAAATAAGTATCGAAAGAAGTTCTCTTATATCTAATTCGCAGTCATCAACTTTTTTTTACACGGCGCCCTTATTGTCCCTGAAGATGTAAAAAAGCTTTCTTTTTGCACCCTTTGCCTCTCTCTCAAGTTGCTGACTACGAGACAACGCGTGCTGTCGGCAAGGTTACTCTTTAGCGATATGTACACGCGTGTAAAAAGTAGCCTCTGTCTTCGTCCATTCCCGTGCAAAAAATGTGTACAACAGAAACAATGATATTAGTTAGTTTTTAACGAGCTTTCTAAAAGTTTGGATAATGTCTTAGCTTTTCTTTCTACAGCACAGTGTTCACAGTGTTTCACGACCGAAAAGGACGTTTTATATTAACAAATAAAATGTACAACTCTTGTGATTTTAGTCATGGAGAAAATTGTGCAGTAAAAAGTGAAAATTATTTTTATGTGACAGCCTGTTTAGTGCTGGCACTGCAAAATGACAGCTGAGATAAGTTCGCTTCAGAATGGCGCATGCTGGCAGCAAAAAGCGCCATTCGCTCAAGAATAAAAGTTTGGACGACTATCCGCAGGTTCCTTTTTGCACGGAGGTGAATATTGCGAAAAAGTAACCCCCACTGTCTCAGTACGACTAATCCATGCTCATAAAAATTGCGTAGTAAAATAAAAATAAATAATAAAGAATTAAAATGTCAATGACAACAAGTATAATAAACGTATGAGATAAACAAAAGGAAAATACAGGTATGGGGAATATAGTTGGTGATCGATGTTTTGCCTGAAATATGTTTTTCGCAATGAAAAGTACGTTTTCCTCGAAAAAGGGAAAATGGGTATTTGCGACCCAAATGGGTATTTGCTGCGAAATAAAGTTTAGCCTGTAAATGCTTAAAATATAAAAAAAAACAGCTCTTAACAGGTGAAATATACGTATACAATTATGCGAAGCGAGTTGCAAACAGCAATGCTTGGAAAAGTCACCCCCAAAGAGAATTTTTAACTAAAAACTATTGCGGGCACTTTCGAAAAATCTTCATGTTTCAAGTCTTGTTGAAGATGTAGCTTACAACAGGAAAGATTCGTAAATTAATGGTCTGGTAAAAATGAAAATTTTACGAATTCCAGCGGTCTTTAGTAGCAATTTTCCTTTTCTCGAGGACCTTTCGAACCGCTGGTTTTTTCGAATTTTTTAAAAAAATTTCGTATCTTGCACCTAAAATTGAGTAATTGCTACGTTGGCGAGGTTTGAGTGAAAATAGTACGCGCCAAATTTTAGGGCTGTGTCAGGAAAATTGAAAAAGTTAGAAAATGATTCATAAACTTTACTCTCCATGTTTTTAATTCAAACTTTTTTCGAATTTACCGTTTGAAAATAGCAGAGCGAGAGCAAGTAGAAAATACGCAGTCGACAATCTAAAGAGAGAGAGAGAGAGAGAGAGAGATTGATTGATTGATTGATTCACTTTTATTTGAATACGGTAATTTCATAAGTTACATAACTTCTTTACATGAAAGCCGTATAGAAACAGAAGTAAATACTGTACAACTACACTAAAAATATGTACAAATAATAAAATATAGTAAAATGTAGTCAACAGTTTGCCTGCCTACTAGCCAGTTTTCTTTTAAAGATAGCTTTAGATTCAGA